AGCACGGAGTCTGAAATTGTGCTCAGTATATGGCAATAGGCTCACCCCCTATTACATGGGACTAATAACATAAATAGTGAAAAGTAGGTGTTACATTGTACAGTGGCATAATGTGGACCTCTGTCTACCTCTCCGGGGATAAAAGAGCATGATGTTATCTTTTTAACTAAGTTTAGATACCAAAATTTTATTCATTTAGCGTTTCTCCATGTTCGTAGTACCTACTTTTTCATTTTAACATCATATTTTCGGAATTTTCGACTACATCCCTGTATCCCGGTTCAAGATCCGTATACCCGGGATTTACGGTTATCGCTACCCGGGTTGCGTTCAATCACAACCTGGGAACTTAATACTTAACGCGTCTATTGCAAGCTCATACGTTTTTAGTACTCAATTATTTATATATTTTATTTTTATTGATCACACTGAACGTGATTTGAAAGAAACTTGGCAGTTGGGGGTTAAATTTATTGAAGTTTTCGGTTTTAAATTTTTGTCTACGTATTTTTGGTATTTGAGCACTGTGGTTAGTTAGTTAGTGTTGTTCCAATTGTAGAAGTTTGAAAACAAAAGTAAAAATTGAGTTCCATTTATAAAATAAAAACGAAACAATTGACGTTCGCATTCTGTACTATAATTTTTTATAAATAAAAAAAAACAAATTTTCTGTTTTATCGTCTATTCTAATAATTTATTCTATTACCTTTATGCTACATCAGAAATGACCTCGAAAACCGAAAGTTACATAAAAATATACCCTACAATCAAAAACATAACGACTGTTGTAAAAATCTGTGAACATCGTCTAAGATCGTAACGTCTACTATTACTAGTTTATCATCCATAACCTCTGAGAGCCTTACAAAAGTAAAATGTTCTATAAAAAGCTTAAATGAAAGTTTTTATGATGTACCAAATGAATTTTGTAGTTGGAAGTCGTTTTTTTTATATTATGAAGTCGTCATTAAGAAGTCTAGAGGATTGATTGCAATGAACTTTAAAACTGAGACTAATTTTCGAAGGTTTTAGATGATTCACTTAGGTATGTACCAAACGGGTATAACTAAACCTTCAGGTTTAACACATAAATCAATATGAGTTTAGAAGTCTGTTAAAAGAGTGTTTTCTTTTAATACCTAGACTTAATGACATATTTCGCAAAATAATCTAAAATACCCACACCTCTGCTCACCCTATTATACACAAAACCATTCACCAACAATCAATCCAAACTTCAACACAAAATCAATAATTCAGAGATCTTGGAATTCATTCATTCTCCCCTTGAGACGTTCGCGAACAATTAAGGCTTGCGACGCACCCTTACCGCCGTATTGCGTGTAATTACGCACTTATTACCGTCCCAGAGAAGATTTTACGCACTCCGGTAAAACTTACGTGTTAAGAACTTATGACTCGTAATAAGTTCGTGTAAACTTGGGTTGCAGGAACTTTTTAAGGGACGTGTAATGGAGGATGGATGGCTTCAAATGTGTGAGGGTTTGTTTTGTAATTTGAAGTCGCTTAAAAGTGAGGTTAGGACGACTTCCATTTTAAAAATGTTATTTAATAGAACGTCAAGTACATTTATCTACGTCGCAGTTTCCTAAAGGCATATTTACAGGTACTTAAAAGCGAAATACCAACCGAACTCGATTACGACTACATCACACAATCAAGAATGGAACTCCGAACTTAATGCCCGACAATTTATGCCCCCACAAATTTATTCACACTGCGTATAGGTAGTTGAAAAGGGGCTGAATACCAAAACATCACAATTTGCGAGCGCCACAAAGGAAACATCTTCCACAGTAAAAATCTGTAGAGTATCGTGAAGATGGAGAGACTAACGAGGTAGCCCCGCTACTCTGATTTCCAATTCAAAGGAAAATTGCGATGGAAAGGGTCGGTGGGGGGGAATGGAGGAGTGGGGGGCCCCCTCCAGTTGCTACGCGACGCGGGGTGGAGCCGCCGCAATCACGGCCCAATGGCACGACGGTTATAAATTGCTCTGCCGTCGCGACATAGCTGCCGGAGTGAGACGACCAGGCCTCCCGCTCGCACTAATGAAGTCGCCTCTCCGTAGCACCCTTGATTGACGGACTGGCCCTTTTTCGGTAGTAGTTAGGTATCAATGCTGTGCCGTGATTTGCCAGTAATAAAGGTGTGGTCACATTTTCCTGTTGTACACATAGATTGTCACGTGACGCGGTTTATTGCGCTTTGTATAACTATATACAAGCCTGTATGCCAATTTATTCGCACTCCCACTTATGATTCAGTCTTTTATACCTACCAATTAGATTCTTTGAAAATAATATGCCTTTGTGAGCTGCAGAATGTTATTACTTGCAAGAGACAAACACTCCCACATGTTGAATCATCCCAAAGTGAATTAAATAGATCCATTATTAGCTCAGTAGTTTCTGAGAATGCATTATACATACCTATTTATAAAGATGAAGAAGATACCTACACATATGCATTCAGTGTTCTTAGGAATGAACTCCTAGATGTTAATATTCCAACGGTTTTTTAAACTAACTGTGATTTATCACAAAACATCATGGCGTCGATCTGTCATTCTACCTGTGTGTATAAGTAAAAAAACCAGAACCTAACCAACTCATTTCGCACTTAGCCTCTGAGTATTTTCTTCATACTATGTGTTAGTATATCTATACCTACATTACATAATTCCTAACAAACCCTCGGAGGGTATTTCTCCAAACAAAAGCTGAGATCAACAAAAGCAATATTAAATTCCTCTCTCGTAGGAATCGGGATGATGTGATAGAGTTTTAATACCTACGTCTTAAGTGGTTTTGGGTCTAGAATTCTAAAGTAAAAGGTCGTTTGAAAATAGATGAATATGGAGAAATACACCAAATGTCTTATAGGTACATCGTTATTCCTCAAAGGGATAAACAGAGGTGCACAAATCTATTGTGTATAACGTAGATAACACTGCCTTATACACAACCACCTACCCACAACCATGTATTCAAATAGGACTTGTAAATAGGTTAATAAAGTTATATCAAAATTACTTAATGACTGCCAATAGAGAAGTGTTGAAGGCAAATCCTCTGCTAACGTTGGTCGGTCACCGATAGCGTTTAACGTGTTAATCACTAAACCAATTTATACTCTTAGTTCACGTAAATTAGGATGTAATACATCATTAGATTAAATCGCAAAGACAGTACCCATAATCGATTTTTAAGAAAGTACCCAAACGAAATAAAAAGAGACATATTTGTCCAAATTCATTAGATACAACAGTCATATCAAATGTTTAATTAAAAACCACATAATCCAATACAATACCAATACTTCTACATCTAGAAGAAACCAAATAAAGAGACTTGCGAAAAGAAACAACAACTTTCCGAGCCAGCTAAAATAGTGAACTGTAGAATGTGTTAAGAATGCGTAATAAGGATCGGACGGCGCACAGATTACGCCGACGTGTGTCTTATACGATATTTTCTATGATATGAGAAGATATAGGGCATATAGCTATGTATGTTTTGCTGTGTCATCAGTATGAGATATATTGTAGAAGTAAAATTTGGAAAAGGACTAAGTTTCGTCTGGGCTTTGGTCTTATAGCCTGCATAGTCGATACAGAACCTATTATCAGAGGCCTACGTTCCTGGTTTCTTATTTATTATAACAGGAGACGAGTCTAGTTCCATACACAAGTCATCCTTTTAAAGATTTCAAGCATAATCGAAACATTTACTTCTTCTTGATGATTACGCTTCCTGTTACTACACCAAGAAAATGTGTTTGAAAACCCAATTACAGAATGAGTAATAACTTACCACTCATGCAATTTAAAAGAGACAGAACTCATACATCTTTACCTAAACCCTAAACTCAAATCTACACCCCTCTCATTCACACCCACTTCACCTTCATAAGTCAGAAAGAGAAAGCATATTACAACAACAATAACTAGAGTATAGTAATGTATCATATTACACTATCTTTTCAATAAAAGCAGAACGTCGAGATTCCACGGATTTTCTCCTTTACGTATATTCGTAGCCTCTGTCTGTATAAATAGGGGCAGCCCTACATACATATACGTATAGGGTTGCCTCTCTATAAATCGTATATGTAATACGGAGAGAGAAAACTGCGAACAGATTCCGCAAAGGTTTATTAACACGGTATGGGTAGGGTTGGCGGTGAGAGGTTTTAGTTGAGGGAAATTATCCATGATGTTTTCTTGTTCACAACTTTATTATATAACGTAATCTTAATTTGAAAGATGTTTAAGATTTATAATGGTTAATGATGACATGATAACCATACAGATAAATACAACTTCGTTATTTATTTAGTTTCTATAGTTACTTTCTATCTCCATACAGAACTATATGAACTTACAGCTAACCTGTTTTCATCGGTCTAGTAAATAGACGTAGAACTTTTTGTAAACAAAAACTCGGCGATACGTTTTGGATATCGGCAACCCTATCAGTATTGCAGGGTCGCGCGTCACAGCGGATCGATAGCAGGGATGTGGTGCGGATTACCATCGGCAATACTCCTCGATTACACGGATCAAATATATTTTTTGTAATGTTAACACACTTGTAGGTACAGTTATGTAGTAAATATGTATAAAGATTGTTTGTTTTTAAAGATATGTTTTGTTAAAACGTTACGCTAATGCGGTATAATAATGTACTGACTTACAGGGCTGCACTTTGAGTAATTTATTCAGCTCTATTTTGACCAATGAAAAGCCTATTAATTACTAAGGGTTCATGTAGGTAGAGCTTACATCTTAAAGAAAGAATGAACTTATTACTGTGGTACTAAATAAATCAAATTCGACCTGTTTTCTTACTACCTAGAAGGGGTAATTTACGTACCAAATTTTTCACATCGTATCGTATCGTAGTTAGGTTAACCTAGTATTACTGAATCTACATTTCCTTCAAACTGATTCTAAATCGTCTTCTGTTTGTCAACAGGCGAAAAACCCCACAAATGCCAAGTCTGCGGCAAGGCCTTCAGTCAGAGCTCGAACCTGATAACACACTCTCGCAAACACACTGGATTCAAGCCATTTGCCTGCGAGCTCTGTGGACGAGCATTCCAGAGGAAGGTGGATCTGAGGAGACACAAGGAGACCCAGCATGCTGACCTGAGACCCCCTCAGCCACCGCATATGCAGCCCCATACTGATGTGCATGGCATGCATCCTACTGAAATGCATGCTGTGCCTGACCATCGAATAGGTGAGATATCATTTGGTGATTTATTCAATTAAAATAAAATTAAATATACATATTATATAAACCGCGGAGTATATGCGGTGCAGTATATTTGTCTACATTCTTACTGTTTCAACGGTTATATTATGTTAGAGTCGATTAGGGGACTACAGGCAGAGATCAGGCAGCATTACTCCCTTTTAAATGCAATCTTCAAACTGACTGCCAAAAATGTACCTCGATTAAGTCAAACCCTATTATGTAAAGAAATCCTATAGAATAGTGACCTGTCATACGCTGTTCACGTTTACTGAGACTTCAAAAGACAATACTAATTCAACCTTTTTCCAACAGATCTCCGTCCCCCACACCCTGACCTGCGCCAGCACCCTGACTTCAGAGCACACATGAGCACCGCAGTGCCTCCTCTGCAGCCACTACCATCCTGAACCTCAACAGCCTTCGCGCCAACTGGCTGGCGTTAAGGCTTGAAGATGGAGTAGAACATGATAGAGCGATGTGGCAGTGACCAGTTTTAACAGTGACTACCAAAAAATTTGATCTTTTTATTTCATGTCAAAATTCGTTTTGTACACGATGTCGTGTCGTAAGCCTGTCGTTACGTAATGACTAAATATCTCGCTCGCTTCGTCGTGCGCGAACGGTTCGGTTATTCGTACAGGGACGTACTCAGTTTCATTGAATGTCGTAAGTTATTTTCAAGTTCAAAATTATTATAGACGGCGTTCGGTTATTATATAAAATTTATGTTTACAAAACGTGATATGTTTTCGTTGTTATTTTATTCCTTTTTAATACTCAATAATGAGCTCACGATTTAGTGTGGTTGCAATAGTGCTTTGTTTAAAACATATAATATAGATAGCATTTTTTGTTTTAAATACAGTCTTATTTTTGTTTATTATGGACGTTTAAGTCAAATGTAGTGAAAAAACATTTTTAATCTACAATATAGTTTGAACTAATCCATTCCACATCGCTTTACGGGGCAGTGTAAAATATTGAATAGGAAACCAACATATAGTATACAAATAAATACATTTTATTGTTACCGCAGCTCTTATAAGTAGATATAATCAAATTATTATAATAAAAAAAATGTTAACGCTTTGTAATTGTGAGTTTTTTGATCTCAAAATAAACTACAGAATAAAGTGTTTTATTGTAAATGTTGTTTGTGTTGCATTAATGTAAAATATAATCAATCTTATGTAATAATAATCACAATTCAGAGAAGAATTATGTATGTATGAAATATTTCAGATAAAAAAATACTCAGTATAGGAAAAACTGCAACACAAGCAATTATTTTAGCGGGCGATATCCAAAGAGCACAAATTTTTAAGAAATTTCGAGGCACCTAATTGTAAAGTCACAAAATGTAATGGACTGACTGATGGAATCATTCCAAAATATTTTTTTTTTCTATAATTACTTAGACATGAACAACTTAATTATAAGAAAGGTCTTTATGTAGAGACTCCGTGTTTATTCTATTTTTATAATTATTGTTGTTTATTGACATCATTCCCTGTTATTGTTAACAAAAAATAGAAAATAGTCAATATAATAAACATTACCACCACTTTCAGCATCTCTATTTTATAGTCCAATCTTAAATTGGAATAATATATTAAATATAATGGCAACTGCAATAGATTAATAATCAAACATTATACCAAAGTACATTACCCAATATTAATAGTAATGCGTATAAAATAATTATGTGTCATATTATGATAGTCGAAATAATTTCATTAGAATAGAATTATAATAGAAAAATACTCGCATATCAATATTATATTCATTTATTATATTATTATATCTAAATGAAATCGAATTATGTAAAATATTTAGCTGATTATAGTTAAGAATTAGTTTAAAATGTACAAAAAATGTTGTCTATTTTTATGGCTGTAATCTTTTGTAAAAGCACTTAGATTTAATTCATTGTATTTGTAATTATACTTTGGCTGTTATTTTTGTTCAGAACAAAACACAATTTTATTATTCTAAATTCCAGATATAGATTCCATTTATCTGCATTCCAGATTTTTCATATAAAAATAGAAAATATAAAAAAGACATTCTAGCATTCCATTTTTTTTAATTTAATTAGAATGTTGATGATTTTATTCGACATGTTATTGATTCTTCCACAATTATTTTCATGTACACATATTTCACTTAAAATTTGTAATTTGCCATAACCTAATTGTATATAAATTATTTAAAAATTGTATTTAAAAAAAAACTTCTCGTCAAAATTTTAAAATAAAATTTATATGTTACTAAATGTAATGAACTCATTGTAAATATTGTATAGAACATAAAACTAGTTACGTTAACGATCCCAAAGAAATACGTGCAATCCTATGGTCGTAATTTACCAGTTATTATAATAAGTAACTGTCACTTCAATAAATATGATGATGTATTAATTATTTTGTATTATTTCACACCCTTTTCTACTGAAACTGAACCTTATTATCATATTGAAATAATCGACTAAAACTAAACACAATTGTAAAAGAAAAACGCGTAACACACACACACACACACACACTTCGATTCATAAAAGGCCAGTACCCGTAACACTCACTTTTAATAAGGTAGGTAAAACTTATCTAATTGAAGAATACGTTTATTATATATATGTATATTACAAATAGTCTAAGCTACCAGTACAGGCTGGAAGAAAAGCATATCAGTGATGATGCAACGTCATTCCTATTAGTTCGTAATCAATAATAAACAATCCAGGAACACTGGAATGGCTACACTAGGCAAGCGATCAGAAACAAGAAGATATATGGGAACAACACAACACCAACATTTCAATGATGAATATTCTCCTAACAAAAATATTACGCAAAAAATAATATATTCTAAATTCAAAGCTAATAAAAATAATTATGTAAATACAACTCAAGATGTCGTTGATCTTAATTCTATTCCGGTATCAGTTTGGCGCGAGGGGGATAGGCTTTTATATTTGAGTTTGACTTCTAAAGTTACATTGGAGACATGGGGAGTATTTTAAAAAAGTAAAAATAATTATTCTTCTTATAAAAAATTGCAAGAAACTAGTGACTTTGATAATTATTAAAACAGGCAAAATTTCTTATAGGATAAACTCTTAATCAAGGGCAAGATACCTAAGGGAAACGATGAAACAATATAGAACTAGTTTCGGAACAATTTGAATAGTTTGAATGGACCTTCCATTCAAACTATTCAAGTCAGACGCCATGTACGTCTACTGCAAACAAAAACCTTTCTTCAATGACTTCCATGTCTTTCAAAAGTACCAGTACTTGCAAAGTGTATCTACTCCATTAAGCCATAAGCTAATCATAATTTTAGGAAAATATCAGTAAATATTGTTTTGTCGCCACATTTTCAATGTAACAAACCACATGTTTGTTTCAGAAAAAAAATATTTGGTAATCTCTCGAGCTTAACCAGCCCCATTTTTCCGCAATGTTATTCTTACACTCCAATTTCAACGCAGAACCCTAAATTAATCCAATTAAATGGCACCCGATTCCGTATAACAGTATGTTTGTCTATAACCGTCAATGTTTGCGACGCCATGATCGATTGATCATTAACCTAATGGCTGATGTATCGAGGGTTTTTTAATACTTATTAACTTCGTTGTACTTTTATTTTTAGATTATGACATTTGATGAAATACTACCCTGTCCTTGTTAGTTCTTCCTCTTGGGAGTTGAAGGTTTCGAACTTTGATATTTTACAATAATTTAAATAAGTAACTGAATCTATTTTGTGTTACAGTTTTTGAGGTGATGGCTTGAATTAGTCGACCTCATTTATAAAATGTTGTGATGACACGATCATATATTATTATGTGAAATATTTTTTCATTTAACCTGAATCGAACTCGAAAGCACTTGCCTGGTAGTTCTTTAATAAACATGAAACAGATGAAAAAATAACCTTAATTTACAACCCTACTTGTGACTACTGGACAAAGCTCAACCAATCCATATAAAAACAAAACAGGGCTCCTACACAAAAAAAGAACAATACACCAGTACGAGTATTCACAAAGCCAGAATAAAACCCGTAACTCCATTCTGTGTTTGATTACGTTACACAAAAAACCTAGTTAGATTTGTAGTAAAGCGGGAAGGAGACGGTCCCGTGGGTCCAGACGAACGCTAAACGCCTGTTAGCACGCACTGAGGGACGAACTCTGAGCCGGACCGTTGTTGTGCACAGGGCGGAATTTTGATCTAATATCATGAAAAGTGAAGGTGTAAAATTGCATTTTTAAAGTGTATGATTTATATACATTATCATGATTCGAGATTAATCATAAATTAATTATTATTCGAGATTATGAGATGATTAATTTAATCATAATATTATATAAATTAATTTAATCATAATTTAAAGATGATGAGGTGAAAAATGATTAATTTAATAATAATAACATATAAATTATGATTATTTTGATTCGAGCAAAGTATTACTGGGTTTTAAAAAAAATCTCAGTAGTAGCACGGAGTCCGAAATTATGCCCGGTACCTACATATATGGCAATAGGCTCACCCCCTATTACATGGGACTCATAACATAAATAGTGAAAATTAGGTGTTACATTGTTCAGTAGCATTAATTGCCGTAATGTGCACCTTTGCTTACCCCTTTAGAGAGGTACTTGTTATTGTGATTTAAACTGTCAAACACCAAGCGGTCACCGGTGACCGCAACCTATTGTTCTATAATTGTGTCTACAAAACCGGTACTCGACGAGTTAAAATACAATATATAAGTAAAAGAGTAATTAACTCGTCGAGTACCGGTTTTGTAGACACAATTATAGAACAATAGGTTGCGGTCACCGGTGACCGCTTGGTGTTTGACAGTTTAATAGTGATTGAATGTGGAGTAATAAAAATAAATTCATTCACTTTTTAATACTTACTCAAGTATCTAAATAATTAAGGTAGGTAGATACCTTTTTACACAACTGAAGAAAGGGTTTTATTTTTCATTCGTATCTTGGCATATTAATCAAATCAAACTGTACCTACATATTTTGACTAGAGTGTAGTCTAGTGATAATTATAATAGTAATTAATAGTTCTATTCATTCTCTATCTATTATCACTTGTTCAAACAACAATTAGTGTCTTCTATTCTTTGTATGTGTAGTCTAGTTTTGTACATACGTCTAACGGTTCCATGGTGTAATGGTTAGCACTCTGGACTTTGAATCCAGCGATCCGAGTTCAAATCTCGGTGGAACCTGGCAAAACATATTTTTTTTCTCAGACATTCTTTCATACAATAATAGAAAAAGTTAAAAAAAAACATACAACTCTTTGAGCAAAAATTTTGCTTAAAAAGCTGATAAAATACCTAAGTAATTACTTTTGTCTTTTTAATAATAAGTAAATAAAAAAATAGTGTACTTTTTTGAAAAAAATATGAACGACCACTTAAAAATTTTGCTATTAATTATTATTACATAACATCACGCCTTTTATCCCCAGAGGGGTAGGCAGAGGTGCACCCACTTTTCACTATTTACGTTATGAGTCCCATGTAATAGGGGGTGAGCCTAGTAATAATTATTATACAAATAAAATTCATCGACCAAATTCTCGGCATAAGTAAAAATATGAGACTAAACTTTATCAAGAATGTATCTATGTAATAAAAAGAGTCGATGTATTTTTTTATTTTATCATTATTTCAAAAATACAAACAAAAGCCGTCCCAAGTCCGTCCCCTGTCGGGTCAGCATCATATATAATTCATTGGTATCCACATGCGTCTCGGACGCAATCAGTATTGTGAATAATTGATGACCAGTCCGATGATTGTGCGCCCCGCGAGATTGAAGAAGATTTGCGCGTCCAAGTACGGCCCTGGTGGTTTTTATTCATTATTACATAATATATTTATTTATTTGAAATGAACAAAACGTAGAAACGGATTTGGTTGTAGTTTTTTAATTTATTTATTTAAAGTTAAATGTAAAGACAAAATAAATAAGACGAACTTGGTCCCAAAATTAAAATAAATAAACGCAAATAGAAAAATAATACATACATTTCAATGGACTATCAAAAATCATAATAAAATCAAAATGGCACTTATTTAAAGTGAAATATATTACTTACATGTTTATTTAAAATAGATAAGTAATCATCAAATTGATGTAGATAAATTTTAATACAAATCAAATTAATTATTATATTTTTCGGCTTACCCACGTAATTATTTGACGAGGAACTCGACTTGTTTCAAGTCTTGTACTTATAGAAACCAATTTTATTAAAATCAATAATCATTCACAAATTTTATTAACGAACATCAACAACTAAATATCGCCTATCCATACAAAATCATTATGTACCACGTTCACACAATTATAGGCTCTATTGCGTAACATATAAATTTGATTACAGCATGAATCATCATTCGGTTCAACACATTGATGACGTCACTCCCTAAGAGTCTTAGTGAAAGGGACCTACTATTTCGCGACGCTCTTTCAAGCGGTTCCATGGTGTAATGGTTAGCACTCTGGACTTTGAATCCAGCGATCCGAGTTCAAATCTCGGTGGAACCTGTGTGTTCTTTTTGTACCATTTTTGTAAAATTTTCTTTATGACTTTTTTTCTTGATTTATTATTATGAAATATGTACGTATAATAGTGTTATTGATTTTTTTTATTTTGTTTTTTATTTTATTATTTATTTTTTACATTTATCTAACTTGGAAAGTTCGAAGTTGGAAATGT